GGTAGACCGTGAGTCACTGGTGAGTCACCGTTTGTCACTCATTTCCCAACGTCTTGTCTCTTCTCACAATTCAAGTTCCTAGAATCAACCCACCCGCGCCTGCAACATGGCTTCATCCCAGAGGTCGCAATCAGGTACCCGATACCCGTACCCTACCCGTACCCGGCCGGCCGGGTACGGGTAGGGTACGGGTACGGCTGGGTACGGGTACCCGTTTGCGACCCTGGTGCGGCCGGGTACGGGTAAGGAATCAAAACCCGTTTGCGACCTCTGATGGAGACCCAGAGAGACCCACCGAGATCGCACAGTAAACCCACGTGTTGCCTGCCCTCCTTCGAGAGAGGAACAGCAACACGACGGGAACTCAACCTGTGATCTCTTATCAGTGCCCTACCTTATTACAATTTTTTTTTCTAATTTTCTTGCTGTGAATTTCACAATTCTCTGATAGTGCGCTGTTTTTGAGTTGTACGCCTTTTGGCGTCATCTGGTCCAACACCAATGGAGACTAGGCTCTAAGAAACGCTGTCTCGGGTGTGGACCAATCAACTTCAAGGACAGTGCATACCATTATCATTATCAGAGTTGTTTCTTTTTGTTTGCATTTTGACTGCTTGTGTTGTGGTTATTGCAAACATGATGCCTTGTATAAAGGTGTCAGTTTTTGTACCAGTTGAAAGGGTAAAAACCTATTACTATATTTTGCCACTGGTAAAGGAGATGTCTCGTAGAAACCGTGGAAGTTGTGGTTAATAAAGAAGGTGCCTCCTATGAACTCTGTCTCCGAATCGTTGACACTACACGTGTTCATCACAAACACCGTGTGTGGTTAATGCGAAAGGTAACACATGCTATGGCGTTTCAACATCTTAACACAGCTACTGTTTGATTGTCAGTGAAGGTAAGAGCTACTCTTATGTTTTCATACTTTTATACTGGCAAAAAGGTCCCAATCTGTAGCTACTCGACCAGAGCTATGAATGCTCTGATAGTGCCATTGTCTTTGTACTCATCTTCCACAAGTAGTGACTAATCCCATATCTGCATTTCACATAAATATGCTAAATTCCTCTTGATATGCAAATTATTTTGTCAAGGCGCAGTACATAATACTTACCGATGTTATTCTAACATTACAAAAAAGTTACTTATGAAATAATGCTTACCGTCTGTATTATTATTATTGTTATTATTCGCGCTATTAACCCTTTATGTATTGCTCAAGCGTAAGAAGTAACGCTGTCGGGGAACGTATCCCCAAATAGGCAATGGTAACAATGACCCCGTTTAGTGCTGATTCGTCTGGCGCTCAGTTCTCCAGCAATGCGTGTTGAACGCTAAGCGAGGTCTGCCTGTACACACAAAGATCCCCAGGTGTATCTTCTTGGTTCTTTCGGCAAAGTCACGTAGAAGGGAAGTAATAAAATAATAAAAATAAAACGTAATAAAATAATTCTCACGACGTTTTTTTTTTTTAGACGCTGTCGCCTCGACAGACCTGGTCTTCACCTGAGGACGGCTGCTTGTGCTGTGGCCGAAACGTCGTGAGAATTATTTGATTATGTTTTATTTTTATTATTTTATTATTTCCCTTCTACGTGACTTTACCGAAAGAACCAAGAAGATGAATCCCTGCAGTCACGGAAGCTTTAAATCGAAAATCCCCCGTGTAGCCTTATTAGATTGTTGGGGCAAGTGCTGTTAGCGAGCACCTATGAAGGCCGGCACAGCACATGAGGGGGTGGGTGGCCAACACCACGCCCGGCCGCCTTTGTCTCCCCAGTGACGATATTTACACACCACAACCCAGGTAGACATTTGAGGCTGAGTCGACCTAGGGGAGGCTCAGGATCGGTTCAGATAATCGTCAATGGTGTTGGTGGCCGTGAGCGGGAATCGAACTCGGGTCGCCGGGTTCGTAGCACAGCGTAGCGCTAACCGCTGCACCACCGCTCCCCCAGACTCACACTCTCTCATTCACACCAAACGGCAAAAATCCCCCGCATAGCCTCCACAGACTGATGGGGCAAGTGCTGTTAGCGAGCAGCACCACCTATGAAGGCCGGCACACCGCTCCCCACACACACACACACAGTGGGGAGCGGTGGTGCAGCGGTTAGCGCGCTGCGCTACGAACCCGGCGACCCGAGTTCGATTCCTGCACACGGGCAACACCTGTGACGATTATCTGAACCGGTCCTGGGCTTCCCATAGGTCGACTCAGCCTCAAATGAGTACCTGGTGCGGTGTGTAAACATCGCCACCCACCACTTTGTGCGCCGTGCCGTGCTTCATTGGTGCCACTCGCCAAACAGCACTTGCCCCAAACAGTCTGTGGAGGCTATACGGGTGATATTTGTCTTTGTCACACACACACACACATGCCGACTCGTGTACCCACACATACACACGCAACCAACTGAATGATAACATGCACCCCCCCACCACCAACCTTGCTGAAAAATGCGTCTACTAATCTATTCGTTCAGTACGATTAATAATCTGGTAGTCTTGCACTTGTCACGCTCCTTCTGCACGAGGGCTATTTGACCACACTGCACCACGCTGGGACGTTGGGTTCTACATATCTCTCCCCGCTCGACGTTAACCGGGCGTCCAACTCGATCGCTCGCAACATCGAGATATCGGAGCAGAGAAAATCAAATATACATTTGAGCAGAGGCTGCCAGTCAGAACTTAAAGCAGAGACGATCAGACAGAAATCAGAGCAGAGACGATCAGACAGAAATCAGAGCAGAGACGATCAGACAGAAATCAGAGCAGAGACGATCAGACAGAAATCAGAGCACAGAGACGATCAGACAGAAATCAGAGCAGAGACGATCAGACAGAAATCAGAGCACAGAGACGATCAGACAGAAATCAGAGCAGAGACAATCAGACAGAAATCAGAGCAGAGACGATCAGACAGAAATCAGAGCACAGAGACGATCAGACAGAAATCAGAGCAGAGACAATCAGACAGAAATCAGAGCAGAGACGATCAGATTTAAATCAGTGGAGTGGGTTATGTGGGTGGGGTGGGTGGTGTGAGTGGGTGGGGTGGAGTGGGTGGTGTGGGTGGGTGGGGTGGAGTGGGTGGGGTGTGTGGTGTGGGGTGTGTGGTGTGGGTGGGGTGGGTGGTGTGGGTGGAGTGTGTGGTGTGTGTGGAGTGGGTGGGGTGGGTGGTGTGGGTGGGGTGGGGTGGGTGGGGTGGGTGGTGTGGGTGTTGTGGGTAGTGTGGGTGGGTGGTGTGGGTGGGGTGGTGTGTGTGGGTGGTGTGTGTGGGGTGGGTGGTGTGGGTGGGTGGGTGGGTGGTGTGTGTGGGTGGGGTGGAGTGGGTGGTGTGTGGTGTGTGTGGTGTGTGTGGTGTGGTGTGTGTGGGAGGGGTGGGTGGAAGGGGCAATGATTGAACAGTGCCCGCTACCGTTCGTGACCTTTTCTCGCCCTGTAAGCGCTCGAGCGAGCAGAGTTGACACCTCTCGACCAGAGACCCCCACCCCCTCCTCCTCCTCCATCGCCACCCACCCCCAAGCACTCACGATTCTCACGGCCACACACCACAGGGACATGCTGGGGCCACGCTTAGAGCGGCTCTCGGCCGTATAAAAATGATCCGTAAGGGACCCTTCTAATCACTCACTCCTCCATTCTCGCTTCCAATCACTCACTCACTCCTCCATTCTCGCTTCCAATCAATCACTCACTCACTCCTCCATTCTCGCTTCCAATCACTCACTCACTCACTCACTCCCTTCTCGCTTCCAATCACTCACTCACTCCTCCATTCTCGCTTCCAATCACTCACTCACTCACTCCTCCATTCTCGCTTCCAATCACTCACTCACTCACTCCTCCATTCTCGCTTCCAATCACTCACTCACTCCCTTCTCGCTTCCAATCAATCACTCACTCCTCCATTCTCGCTTCCAATCACTCACTCCTCCATTCTCGCTTCCAATCAATCACTCACTCCTCCATTCTCGCTTCCAATCACTCACTCACTCCTCCATTCTCGCTTCCAATCAATCACTCACTCACTCACTCCTCCATTCTCGCTTCCAATCACTCACTCACTCCTCCATTCTCGCTTCCAATCACTCACTCCTCCATTCTCGCTTCCAATCACTCACTCCTCCATTCTCGCTGATCACTCACTCACTCCTCCATTCTCGCTTCCAATCACTCACTCACTCCATCCTCCTCGTCAACTCGCTCTGCTAACCGAATGTCAAGTTGCGGATTTGGGAATTTTGGATGGTGGTGGTGGTGATGGTGGTAGGGGCAGGGTAGAATTTCGCCCGGTTCTTCGGGGAATCTCAGAGGAGACGAACCCACGTTTGTTGAGTTCCACGGTGACTCACTCCCCGGTGGTTTATTTGTATTTATTTATTTTTACTCGGAGGAATTCGAGACGAGATTCCACTGCCCCCCCCCCTCCTCCATTCCTCTGTGGTCGCTGACGCCACATTGCGTCGTTTTATTTTGAGTCTCTTCTTCAAACTCGGGAAAAAAATCATCATCACAACCGTTGTCCTGACTTCAACCGATTAGATCATCCGCGTTGAGTGAAAGCTGCGAGTCCAAGACGTCACCAAGCATCTGATCTACATCTCACATTAGCTCACATCAGCTCACATAAGATCACATCTCACATCACAGCTCTGAGGTCGTGTTGAACCACCGTTATCACCACCACCACCACCGTTCACACCACCACCGTTAGCACCACCACCGTAAGCACACCCACCTCCACTGCTGTTATCACCACCACCGTTAGCACCACCAAAAACACCACCACCACCTCCACCACAACCTTCACTACCATCTTCACTACCACCTCCACCTTCACCACCTCCACCATCGTTAGCACCACCACCTCCGCCACTTCCGCCACCTCCATCACCACCTCCATCACCTCCACCACCTCCACCACCAGCACCACCTCCACCACCTCCACCTCCACCACCTTCACCACCACCTCCACCATCGTTAGCACCACCACCACCTCCACCACCTCCACCACCTCCACTACCTCCACCACCACCACCACCACCTCCACCATCACCTCCACCACCACCTCCACCACCACCACCACCAATGTCGCCGACTGCTGGCTCCTTCGTGGTGTGGGACTACCTGGTGTTCGCGGCCATGCTGCTCATCTCGGCGTCGATCGGAGTCTACTACGCCGTTGTAGCCCGTGGCCAGCAGAGCACGGAGGAGTTCCTGACGGGCGGACGGCAGATGGGAGCCTTGCCCGTGGCGTTGTCTCTCACCGCGAGTTTCATGTCGGCCGTGACGGTGCTGGGCACACCGGCCGAGGTCTACTGCTACGGGGCGATGTTCTGGATTTTCGGATTGACCTACGGCGTGGTGGTGGTGGTCACTGCCGAGGTTTATCTGCCCGTCTTCTATCGTCTGGGCATCACCAGCACCAACGAGGTTTGGCAACCAACCCCCGACCGACCTCTCCCCCCTTCCTTACCTTGTGTGGAGTGGATCGTTGTCGAGCGTGATATCGGTGCCTTCATCAGATGATGATCATGCTTCTCTGGATCTTTCGGTAAAGTCACGTGGGTATGAAATGAAATAAAAATAAAAAATCAAGACGTTTCTATTGCAACACGAGCAATCATCATCAGGTGGGGGAAACACGCAAGAAAACAAACCTTCAGCAAAAAAATGTCTTGCCGTGGGTTTCTCACCTGATGATGATTGCTTGTGTTGCAATCGAAACGTCGTGATTTTTATTTATTTTTGTATTTGTGTTTTATTTTTATACCTACGTGACTTTACCGAAAGAATCAGAGAGTATGAATACCTGCAGTCACGAAAGCTTCAAATCTATGACGATCATGATGATGGTCACCACCATCTGCATGTGCTACGAAGGGATGGATTAGTGCTTTGGAACCATTTGCTCTGAAGAAGGGCCGTTTCCCGAAACGTCACTTATTAAACGTCACTTGTTGAGCGGCGGCGACACCAAATAATCTGCCGACTGATGGCGATCATGGTGACGATCACCACCATCATCTTGATCGCCATCATCGTGATCACCATCGTGATCACCATCATAATAATCATCATCATGATCACTGTCACAATGATCATCATCCTGATCATCATCATCATGATCATCATCATAATGATCATTATCCTGATAACGTCATAATGATCATCATCATCATGATCACCATCATCATGATCACCATCACAATGATCATCATCCTGATCATCGTCATCGTGATCACCGTCACAATGATCATCATCCTGATCATCATCATCATGATCACCATCATAATGATCATCATCCTTATCATCGTCGTAATGATCATCATCATCGTGATCACCGTCACAATGATCATCATCCTGATCATCATCATCATGATCATCATCATGATCACCATCACAACGATCATCATCTTGATCATCATCATCATGATCATCATCATCATGATCACCGTCACAATGATCTGCATCTTGATCATCGTCATCATGATCATCATCATCATGATCACCGTCACAATGATCATCATCTCGATCATCGTCATCATGATCATCATCATCATGATCACCATCACAATGATCATCATCGTGATCATCATCATAATGATCACCATCATCATGATCACTATCATATTGATCATTATCTTGATCATCGTCATCATGATCACCATCATCATGATCACCATCACAATGATCAGCATCTTGATTGAATGAAGGGGGGGGTCGTTAGTTCATCAGGCGCGTGGCAAATTGAACGTCAGCTACATGATGACGACGACGCTGCTGATGATGATGATCAGGAAGATGATCGTTATGATGGTGATCATGGTCGTCGTCATCATGTTAATGATCATTACGACTATCAGGATTCTGATCATTATGATGGTGATCGTCATCATGATGATGATCATTATGGCGATGATCAGGATTCTGATCATTATGATGGTGATCCTCATCATGGTGATGATGATCATTATGATGATGATCAGGATTCTGATCATTATGATGGTGATCGCCATCATGATGATGATCATTATGATGATGATCAGGATTCTGATCATTATGATGGTGATCGCCATCATGGTGATGATCATTATGACGATGATCAGGATTCTGATCATTATGATGGTGATCGTCATCATGGTGATGATGATCATTATGATGATGATCAGGATTCTGATCATTATGATGGTGATCGCCATCATGGTGATGATCATTATGACGATGATCAGGATTCTGATCATTATGATGGTGATCGTCATCATGGTGATGATGATCATTATGATGATGATCAGGATTCTGATCATTATGATGGTGATCGCCATCATGATGATGATCATTATGATGATGATCAGGATTCTGATCATTATGATGGTGATCGTCATCATGGTGATGATCATTATGATGATGATCAGGATTCTGATCATTATGATGGTGATCACCATCATGATGATGATCATTATGGCGATGATCAGGATTCTGATCATTATGATGGTGATCCTCATCATGATGATGATCATTATGATGATGATCAGGATTCTGATCATTATGATGGTGATCGTCATCATGATGATGATCATTATGATGATCAGGATTCTGATCATTATGATGGTGATCCATTATGATGGTGATCGTCATCGTGTTGATGATCATTATGGCGATGATCAGAATTCTGATCATTATGATGGCGATCATGCTGATGGTGATCACGATGATAAAGATGATGATCATTGTGACGGTGATCACGATGATGATCGCGATGACGGCGATCAATATGATGATCAGTATGGTGGTGTGATTGGCCCGTGCCAATCACAGCACCGTGTAGCCGAAACAAGTGACGTTTAATAGGTGGGGAGACAAAGGCGGCCGGGCGTGGTGCTGGCCACCCACCCCCTCGTGTGCCGTGCCGGCCTTCATAGGTGCTCGCTAACAGCACTTCTGTTCAGGCTACACGGGGGATCTTTGTCTTTGACGGTGGTGATGGTGATGATGGTGATGATGGTGGTGATGTTGTGTCGTGTGGCGCGCGCATCAGTACCTGGAGAAGCGCTTCAACAAGACCGTGAGACTCGCGGGCACCTTCATCTACATCATCCAGACGGTGGGAGATGGTGGCGATGATGATGGTGGTGATGGTGGTGGTGATGGTGGTGATGATGGTGGTGATGATGTTGATGATGATGGTGGTGGTGGTGATGATGGTGGTGATGATGTTGATGATGATGGTGGTGATGATGGTGATGATGGTGGTGATGATGGTGATGATGGTGGTGATGATGTTGATGATGATGGTGGTGATGGTGGTGATGATGATGGTGATGATGATGGTGGTGATGATGGTGGTGGTGGTGAGGATGAGTAACTAAGGATAAGAGATGATGGCGACGGTGGTGATGATGATGATGATGGTGGTGGTGATGATGATGGTGGTGATGATGGTGGTGATGATGGTGGTGATGATGATGGTGGTGATGATGATGATGAGTAACTAAGGATACGAGATTATGGCGACGGTGGTGATGATGGCGATGATGATGGTGATGATGGTGGTGGTGATGGTGACAATGGTGGTGATGATGGTGGTGATGATGATGGTGATGATGGTGATGATGATGATGTTGATGATGATGATTCACTTAAAGATACGAGATGATGGCGACAATGATGATGATGATCGTGATGATGATGAGTCACTAAGGATACGAGATGATGGCGATGATGGTGATAATGGTGATGATGATGTTGGTGATGATGATGGTGATGATGATTCACTGAGAGATGATGGTGATGGTGATGATGGTGGTTGAGGTGGTGACATTGATTGTGGTGGCAATGATGAAACTGAACAATAGGTTGAGGATGTTGGTGGTAGTGGTGATGATGATGGTGATGACGGTGTTGATGATGATGGTGATGATGTTGGAGATGATGATGGTGATGATTCACTGAGAATACGAGATGATGGTGGTAGTGGTGATGATGATGACGGTGTTGATGATGATGGTGATGATGTTGGAGATGATGATGGTGATAATGATTCACTGAGAATGCTAGATGATGGTGGTAGTGGTAATGATGATGATGACGGTGTTGATGTTGCTGGTGACGATAATTTAAGGATCGGGTTTGTTGTTCATGACATTGTTGATTGTGGTGGTTATGGTTACGATGGAGGAAGATGTAAAAATAGTTTGATGTTAAGGGTGATGGTGGTAATGGTTACTAAAATGAACAGTACTGTAGTGGTCTGCGTGCCGCGCTACGAACTCGGCATTTTCCGAGTTCGATTCTCGCTCACGACCAACACAGGTCCTGATCCTCCCCTAGGTCGACTCAGCCTCAAACGAGTAACCTGGTGCGATGTGTAATCATCGCAGCCAGGGAGACAAGGCGGTCGGGCGTGGTGCTGGCCACCCACCCCCTCTCGTGTGCCATGCCGGCCTTCATAGCCGATGCCACTCGCTAACAGCACTTGCCCCAAAAGTCTGTTACAGTCTATGCGGAGGGGTTGGGAGAGGAATCTTTGTCTTTGTTTTTTGTTTACCAAAGTAACCACCTCCAACATCGCCACCTTCGCCGTCACGCATGGAGACGGCTGGTGGGTGGTTCATTGTTACAGCCGGTAGGGTGGAACGACCAACAACAGCGATTCGCACACCCAGCCAAGACGCTTATCAGCCCACGGCGCTACCCCCCACCACCCCCCACCACCCCCCACCACCCCCCACCACCCCCCACCACCCCCCCACGTGCATCTCCATCACGGGTCCCGGCCACGGTGACGTTGACACTGAACCCTAGGGGAGCCTTAGTCTGCCTCTGCAAACCTTCTGATTTCACATTGAACCCATGGGGAGCCTTAGTCTGGGTTAGTCGCTTGAATTATCACTGAACCCATGGGGAGCCTTAGTCTGGCTCAGTCGCTTGAATTGGCATTGAACCCATGGGGAGCCTTAGTCTGCCTCTGCGAACCTCCTGAATTCACATTGAACCCATGGGGAGCCTTAGTCTGCCTCTGCAAACTTCCTGATTTCACATTGAACCCATGGGGAGCCTTAGTCTGGCTCAGTCGCTTGAATTATCACTGAACCCTAGGGGAGCCTTAGTCTGGCTCAGTCGCTTGAATTGGCATTGAACCCATGGGGAGCCTTAGTCTGCCTCTGCGAACCTCCTGAATTCACACTGAACCCATGGGGAGCCTTAGTCTGGCTCAGTTAGTCTTTTGAATTGACATTAAACCCTGAGGGAGCCTTATTCTGGCTCAGTTAGTGGCTTGAATCGACCCTGAAACATAGGGAAGACTTAGTCTGGCTCTTTGAGCCTTTTTGAACGAACACTGAACAATAGGGGGCCATTAGTCTGGCTCTTTGAGCCTTTTTGAATGAACACTGAACAATAGGGGGCCCTTAGTCTGTCTCTTTGAGCCCTTTTTGAATGAACACTGAACAATAGGGGGCCATTAGTCTGGCTCTTTGAGCCTTTTTGAATGAACACTGAACAATAGGGGGCTCTTAGTCTGGCTCTTTGAGCATTTTAAATGAACACTGAACAATAGAGGGGCCTTAGTCTGGCTCTTTGAGCCTTTTTAAATGAACACTGAACAATAGAGGGGCCTTAGTCTGGCTCTATGAGCCTTTTTGAATGAACACTGAACAATAGGGGGCTCTTAGTGTGGCTCTTTGAGCCTTTTTGAATGAACACTGAACAATAGGGGGGCCTTAGTCTGGCTCTTTGAGCCTTTTGAATGAACACTGAACAATAGGGGGCCTTTAGTCTGGCTCTTTGAGCCTTTTTGAATGAACACTGAACAATAGGGGGGCATTAGTCTGGCTCTTTGAGCCTTTTTGAATGAACACTGAACAATAGGTGGTCATTATTCTGGCTCTTTGAGCCTTTTTGAATGAACACTGAACAATAGGGGGCTCTTAGTCTGGCTCTTTGAGCCTTTTTAATTGAACACTGAACAATAGGGGGCCATTAGTCTGGCTCTATGAGCCTTTTTGAATGAACACTGAACAATAGGGGGGCCTTAGTCTGGCTCTTTGAGCATTTTTAAATGAACACTGAACAATAGGGGGCCCTTAGTCTGGCTCTTTGAGCCTTTTTAAATGAACACTGAACAATAGGGGGCCCTTAGTCTGGCTCTTTGAGCCTTTTTAAATGAACACTGAACAATAGGGGGGCCATGAGTCTGGCTCTTTGAGCCTTTTGAATGAACACTGAACAATAGGGGGGCCATGAGTCTGGCTCTTTGAGCCTTTTGAATGAACACTGAACAATAGGGGGGCCATGAGTCTGGCTCTTTGAGCCTTTTGAATGGACACTGAACAATAGGGGGGCCATGAGTCTGGCTCTTTGAGCCTTTTTGAATGAACACTGAACAATAGGGGGCCATTAGTCTCTGGCTCTATGAGCCACGTGACAAGAGCTACACTTGATGTGGTGTGCCGGGGGTGAAACGGACATGCGTCTGGGTGCTCTGTGGTGAGGCCTAGTCGCTGGCTTCTTCACCGACAAGTCGTTGACTTCTTCACAGACGCTGTAGTCAATATTCAATGTCGCTGTGTTCTTCACAGACGCTGTATTCTATATTCAATGTCGCTGTCTTCTTCACAGACGCTGTACACGATATTCAATGTCTCTGTGTTCTTCACAGACGCTGTACACGATATTCAATGTCGCTGTCTTCTTCACAGACGCTGTAGTCAATATTCAATGTCTCTGTCTTATTCACAGACGCTGTAGTCAATATTCAATGTCGCTGTCTTCTTCACAGACGCTGTACACGATATTCAATGTCGCTGTCTTCTTCACAGACGCTGTACACGATATTCAATGTCGCTGTCTTCTTCACAGACGCTGTAGTCAATATTCAATGTCTCTGTCTTATTCACAGACGCTGTAGTCAATATTCAATGTCTCTGTCTTATTCACAGACGCTGTAGTCAATATTCAATGTCGCTGTCTTCTTCACAGACGCTGTAGTCAATATTCAATGTCTCTGTGTTCTTCACAGACGCTGTAGTCAATATTCAATGTCGCTAGTCTTCTTCACAGACGCTGTACACGATATTCAATGTCGCTGTCTTCTTCACAGACGCTGTACACGATATTCAATGTCTCTGTCTTCTTCACAGACGCTGTAGTCAATATTCAATGTCTCTGTGTTCTTCACAGACGCTGTACACGATATTCAATGTCTCTGTGTTCTTCACAGACGCTGTATTCAATATTCAATGTCGCTGTCTTCTTCACAGACGCTGTAGTCAATATTCAATGTCGCTGTCTTCTTCACAGACGCTGTAGTCAATATTCAATGTCTCTGTGTTCTTCACAGACGCTGTATTCAACATTCAATGTCTCTGTGTTCTTCACAGACGCTGTACACAATATTCAATGTCTCTGTGTTCTTCACAGACGCTGTACACAATATTCAATGTCGCTGTGTTCTTCACAGACGCTGTACACGATATTCAATGCCGCTGTGTTCTTCACAGACGCTGTACACAATATTCAATGCCGCTGTCTTCTTCACAGACGCTGTAGTCAATATTCAATGTCTCTGTGTTCTTCACAGACGCTGTACACGATATTCAATACCGCTGTGTTCTTCACAGACGCTGTACACGATATTCAATGCCGCTGTGTTCTTCACAGACGCTGTACACAATATTCAATGTCGCTGTGTTCTTCACAGACGCTGTACACGATATTCAATGTCTCTGTCTTCTTCACAGACGCTGTACACGATATTCAATGTCGCTGTCTTCTTCACAGACGCTGTACACGATATTCAATGTCTCTGTGTTCTTCACAGACGCTGTACACGATATTCAATGTCTCTGTGTTCTTCACAGACGCTGTACACGGGCATCGTGATCTTCGCTCCGGCTCTGGCCCTCAATCAAGGTGACCCGCACCGTGACGTCACACCCACGCCTTGTTGTTGACCTTCTGGTTGTGGTGGTGGTGGTGGCTGTGGTTGACATTGTTGTTGCTGTTGTTGTGGTTCGCTGTTGTGGTTGTTGGTTCACGTTGTGGTCACGTGGTGGGTGTTGTGTACGTTTTGGTCACGTGGTGGATGTTGTTGTTGTTGTAGTTGTTGATGTTGTTGTTGTCTTTGTCCAGTGACGGGGTTCGACCTGTGGGGTGCCGTGGTGTCGACCGGCATCATTTGCACTTTCTACTGCACCATGGTGAGCACTTACCATCAACATCAACATCACCATCAACATCACCATCAACATCACCATCAACATCACCACCCATCAACATCGCCCATCACCATCAACATCACCATCAACATCACCCATCAACATCACCACCCATCAACATCGCCCATCACCATCAACATCACCATCAACATCACCACCCATCAACATCGCCCATCACCATCAACATCACCATCAACATCACCCATCACCACCCATCAACATCGCCCATCACTCATCACTATCACCATCACTATCACCCATCACTATCACCATCAACATCGCCCATCACCACCCATCAACATCGCCCATCACTCATCACCATCATCCATCACCTTCGGTGGATCGGTGGGTGGATGAGTGGATGGATGAGAATGTGGGTGGACGAGTGGGTTTGGTTGATGGGTGGGTGAGCAGATGAGTGGGTGCGTCGATTAGTGGGTGTGTGGGTGGATGGGTGGTTAGATGGGTAGATGGGTGGGCGGGTGAATGAGTAGATGAGAATGTGGGTAGATGAGTGGGTCGGTTAATGGGTGGGTCAGAGGATCGGTGAGTAGGTGGGTGAATGGGTGGGTGGGTGAATGGGTGGGTGGATGAATGGGTGGGCAGGTGGATGAGTGAGTGGATAAGAATGTGTGTGGGTCGATGAGTGGGTCGGCTAATGGATGGGTTTATGGAACGGTGTGTGTATGGGTGGGTGGGTAAGTGAGTGGATAGGTGGATTGGTGAGTGGATGGGTGGGTGAGTGGGCGGGTGGGTGGGTGAGTGGATGCATGGTTGAGTGGATAGGTGGGTGGGTGAGTGGATGGATGGGTGGGTAATTGGGTGAGTGGGTGATTGAATGTGTGGATGGGTGAGTGGATAAGTGGGTGGGTGAGTGGATGGGTGAGTGGATGGATGGGTGTTTGGGTGGTTGGATGGGTGGGTGAATACGTGTGGATGGGTGAGTGAATGTGTGGATGGGTGAGTGGATAAGTGGGTGGGTGAGTGGATGGATGGGTGTTTGGGTGATTGGATGGGTGGGTGAGTACATGTGTGGATGGGTGAGTGAATGTGTGGATGGGTGAGTGGATAAGTGGGTGGGTGAGTGGATGGGTGAGTGGATGGATGGGTGTTTGGGTGATTGGATGGGTGGGTGAATTAATGTGTGGATGGGTGAGTGAATGTGTGGATGGATGGGTGAGTGGGCGAGTGGACGGACAGGCGGGCGATACGACCGGAGCGGCGTTTCTGAAAGGTCGATTGTGCGTCCACCCCCTCCCCCCCCCCCCTCTTGCCAGGGAGGCCTTAAGGCCGTAGTTTGGACCGACGTCTTCCAGGTGGGAATCATGGTGGCCGGTTTCGCGTCGGTCATCGTGCGCGGAGTCGTCGTGGTGGGCGACCTGAGTCACGTGTTCAACGTCTCCTCCGAGGGCGGCCGTCTCAACCTCCTCGAGTAAGAAAATCCATCTGTGCGGCGCTTCGAGCCTTATCTCCCACCCGGTGCGAGGGGGAGCGGTGGTGCAGAGGTTGGCGCGCCGCGCTGCGAACCCGGCGACCCGAGTTCGAATTCCCGGCCAACACCGGCGACGATTGTCTGAACCGATCCTGGGCCTACCCTAGGTCGACTCAACTTCAAATGAGTACCTGGTGCGGTGTGTAGTAAACATCGCCACTGGGGAGACAAAGACGGCCGGGCGTGGTGTTGACCACCCACCCCCCCCCCCCCCGTGTGCCGTGCCTGCCTACCTAGGTCCTCGGCTAACAGCACTTGCCCCAACAGTCTGTTAAGGCTACACGGGGGATCTTTGTCTTTGTTTGGAGTTTTTCTCGACAATGTGAAAAACTCCACATTGGTGAGTCGATTGAAACATGCTCCTCTGCTCATTGTCCACCCTCAGAGGTTTCCACTTCGTTGTCCACCAGTTGCTATCCACCCGTTGCTTGACCACCTCTCATTGTTCACCCATAGTTGCCCACTGACCAATGTCCACCTCCGATTGTCCACCCATCAATGTCCCACATCTAAATCTCCCCACCAACCGTTGTCCACCTCTAAGTCCACCTCGCAAATATCCACCTGTCCCACCCCATCGCTGCTGACCTCTAAGCGTCGCCCAATCCTCATTGCCAAACCATCAAATTTCAGAATCCGATTGTCCACCCATCAATGTCCCACATCTAAATCTCCACCAATCGTTGTCCACCTCTAAGTCCACCTCGCAAATATCCATCGCTGCCAACCTCTAAGCGTCGCCCAATCCCCATTGCCAAACCATCTAATTTCAGAATCCGATTGTCCACCCATCAATGTCCCACATCTAAATCTCCCCACCAACCGTTGTCCACCTCGAAGTCCACCTCGCAAATATCCACCCGTCCCACCCCATCGATGCCGACCTCGAAGCATCGCCCAATCCTCATTGCCAAACCATCAAATTTCAGAAATCCGTCTGTCCACCGCTCATTGCGCCACGCACCATTGTTCACCCCCCCTCCCCACTCCACCCGCGCCAGTTTCGACCCGGACCCACGGCGTCGCCACACGTTCTGGACGATCATCGTGGGCGGAACGTTCACCTGGGCGGGCATCTACGGCGTCAACCAGTCCCAGGTGCAGCGCTACATCTCCTGCCGCAGCCTGCGACAAGCAAAGCTGTGAGTGCGTTTGGAGTTGCCACTGGTTCTTCACGTTCTGTAGTTGTAGATGCTGCTGGTTCTTCACGTTCTGCAGATATATTTGCCACTTGTTCTTAATGTTATACAGATGTAGATGCCACTGGTTCTTCACGTTCTGCAGATGTAGATGCCGCTGGTTCTTCACGTTCTGCAGATGTAGATGCCACTGGTTCTTCACGTTCTGCAGATGTAGATCCTGCTGGTTCTTCACGTTCTGCAGATGTAGATGCCACTGGTTATTCACGTTCTGCAGATGTAGATGCCGCTGGTTCTTCACGTTCTGCAGATGTAGATCCTGCTGGTTCTTCACGTTCTGCAGATGTAGATGCCACTGGTTATTCACGTTCTGCAGATGTAGATCCTGCTGGTTCTTCACGTTCTGCAGATGTAGATGCCACTGGTTCTTCACGTTCTGCAGATGTAGATCCTGCTGGTTCTTCACGTTCTGCAGATGTAGATGCCACTGGTTATTCACGTTCTGCAGATGTAGATGCCACTGGTTCTTCACGTTCTGCAGATGTAGATCCTGCTGGTTCTTCACGTTCTGCAGATGTAGATGCCACTGGTTATTCACGTTCTGCAGATGTAGATGCCACTGGTTCTTCACGTTCTGCAGATGTAGATACCACTGGTTCTTCACGTTCTGCAGATGTAGATGCCACTGGTTCTTCACGTTTCTGCAGATGTAGATGCCACTGGTTCTTCACGTTCTGCAGATGTAGATGCCACTGGTTCTTCACGTTCTGTAGATGTAGATGCCACTGGTTCTTCACGTTCTGTAGATGTAGATGCCACTGGTTCTTCATGTTTTGCAGATATAGATGCCACTGGTTCTTCATGTTCTGTAGATGTAGATACCACTGGTTCTTCACGTTCTGCAGATGTAGATGCCACTGGTTCTTCACGTTCTGCAGATGTAGATGCCACTGGTTCTTCATGTTTTGCAGATATAGATGCCACTGGCTCTTCATGTTCTGTAGGTGTAGATGCCACTGGTTCTTCATGTTCTGCAGATGTAGATGCCACTGGTTTTTCACGTTCTGTAGATGTAGATGCCACTGGTTCTTCACGTTCTGCAGATGTAGATGCCACTGGTTCTTCACGTTCTGCAGATGTAGATGCTAATTCCCTTTGGCGCTCGTGTTTCTACTTTCTTGAAAGACTTACCAAGATATGTCTCGACAGTGGCTCTCTTCTTCTCTTCATAAGTCGTCTCGTGACAGGCAATAGCATCGTGAACAGCCGCAACTGGACACACGGGGACATTATGAGACCTCTTCTTGGTTCTTTCGTTAAAGTCACGTAGAAGGAAAATAATAAAATAATAAAAATAAAACATAATACAATTATTCTCACGACGTTTCGGCCACAACGCAAGCAGCCGTCCTCAGGTGAAGAACAGGTCTGTCGGTAAAGTCACGTAGAATGGGAAATAATAAAATAATAAACATAAAACATAATAAAATAATTCTCACGACGTTTCGGCCACAACACAAGCAGCCGTCTTCAGGTGGAGAAGAGATCTCTCATCTGTTCTCCACCTGAAGATGAATCCCTGCAGTCACGAAAGCTTCAAGTCTAGAATGTGTCTCTGTGGTATTGCCCCAGGTCTCTGTATTACAACCTGCTCGGCCTGTGGCTCATCCTGTCGTGTGCCGTGCTCTCCGGCCTCATCATGTTCACCATCTACCACGACTGCGACCCCTGGACCGCCGGCATCGTCGGTGCTTCTGACCAGGTGCGTCGCGGCTGCTGCTGCTGCTGCTGCTGCCAGCTGCTTCAGCTGCTGCTGCTGCTTTAGCTGCTGCTGCTCCAGCTGCTGCTCCAGCTGCTGCTGCTTCAGCTGCTGCTACTTCTGCTGCTGCTGCTGCTTCTGCTGCTGCTGCTCCAGCTGCTTCTGCTGCTGCTGCTGCTGCTCCAGCTGCTGCTGCTCCAGCTGCTGCTGCTTTAGCTGCTGCTGCTTCTGCTGCTGCTTCTGCTGCAGCAGCTGCTGCTGCTGCTTCTGCTGCAGCTGCTGCTGCTCCAGCTGCTGCTGCTGCTCCAGCTGCTGCTGCTGCTTCAGCTGCTGCTGATACTGCTGCTGCTGCTTCTGCTGCTGCTTCTGCTGCTGCTGTTGTTTCTGCTGCAGCTGCTGCTGCTTCCGCTGCTGTTGATGCTTCAGCTGCTGCTGATACTGCTGCTGCTTCTGCTGCTGCTGCTGCTGTTGTTTCTGCTGCAGCTGCTGCTGCTTCCGCTGCTGTTGATGCTCCAGCTGCTGCTTCAGCTGATGCTTCTGCTGCTCCAGCTGCTCCTGCTGCTGATGCTCCAGCTGCTGCTGCTGCTCCAGCTGCAGCTGCTGCTCCAGCTGCTGCTGATGCTTCAGCTGCCAACACTTGCCAGAGCTCTGCAGGTCACCCTCTGTTAAATCATTGTTTCATTGATACAATGTGTCTCATTGGTACAATGTGTCTCATTGGTACAATGTGTCTCATTGGTACAATGCGTTTCATTGGTACAATGCGTTTTATTGGTGCAATGTGTTTCATTGGTACAATGTGTTTCATTGGTACAATGTGTCTCATTGGTACAATGTGTCTCATTGGTACAATGTCTCATTGGTACAATGTGTTTCATTGGTACAATGTGTTCCATTGGTACAATGTGTCTCATTGGTACAATGTGTCTCATTGGTACAATGTGTCTCATTGGTACAATGTCTCATTGGTACAATGTGTTTCATTGCTACAATGTGTTTCATTGCTACAATGTGTTTCATTGCTACAATGTGTTTCATTGCTACAATGTGTTTCATTGGCACAATGTGTTTCAATGGTACAATGTGTTTTATTGGTACAATGTGTTCCATTGGTACAATGTGTCTCATTGGTACAATGTGTCTCATTGGTACAATGTGTCTCATTGGTACAATGTCTCATTGGTACAATGTGTTTCATTGCTACAATGAGTTTCATTGCTACAATGTGTTTCATTGCTACAATGTGTTTCATTGCTACAATGTGTTTCATTGGCACAATGTGTTTCAATGGTACAATGTGTTTTATTGGTACAATGTGTTTCATTGGTACAATGTGTTTTATTGCTACAATGTGTTTCATTGGTACAATGTGTTTCATTGCTACAATGCGTTTCATTGCTACAATGTGTTTCATTGCTACAATGTGTTTCATTGCTACAATGTGTTTCATTGCTACAATGTGTTTCATTGGCACAATGTGTTTCAATGGTACAATGTGTTTCATTGGTACAATGTGTTTCATTGGTACAATGTTTTATTGCTACAATGTGTTTCATTGCTACAATGTGTTTCATTGCTACAATGTGTTTCATTGGCACAATGTGTTTCAATGGTACAATGTGTTTTATTGCTACAATGTGTTTCATTGGTACAATGTGTTTCATTGGTACAATGTGTTTCATTGGTACAATGTGTTTCATTGATACAATGTGTTTCATTGCTACAATGTGTCTCATTGCTACAATGTGTCTCATTGGTACAATTTGTTTCATTGGTATAATGTGTCTCATTGCTACAATGTGTTTCATTGGTACAATGCGTTTCATTGCTACAATGTGTTTCATTGCTACAATGTGTTTCATTGGTACAATGTGTCTCATTGGTACAATGTGTTTCATTGCTACAATGTGTTTCATTGGTACAATGAGTTTCATTGGTACAATGCGTTTCATTGGTACAATGTGTTTCATTGGTACAATGTGTTTCATTGGTAAAATGTGTTTCATTGGTACAATGTGTCTCATTGCTACAATGCGTCTCACTGGTACAATGCATCTCACTGGTACAATGAAAATCAACATCACACATTTAGAGCATTTGGCTGCTATAACATTTCACCTAATCATCCTGCTACCGCTGATGATAGCTGTTGATTCTGTTGATGCAGATTATGCTATTGTTGCTGTTGCCGATGATGATGGCTGATGATGCTGCTGATGGAGATGATGTTATTGTTGCTATTGCCGATGATGATGGCTGATGATGCTGCTGATGATGATCCTGCTGTTGATGATGATCATGCTGATGATGATCCTGCTGCTGATGATGCTCGTGCTGATGATGATACTGGTGATGCTGCTGCTGCTAACGCTGATGACGACGCTGCTGATGATGACCGTGCTGATGATGACACTGGTGATGTTGCTGCTGCTGCTAACGCTGCTGCTGCTGCTGATGATGATGTTGACGCTCTTGGTGTTCATCTGCAGCTCATCCCCTACTTGACCCTCGACATCCTGCGGGATTTCCCTGGCGTCCCAGGCCTCTTCGTGGCCTGCGCCTACAGCGGAACGCTCAGGTGAGTGAGATGTTGACTACCTCGCCTGGTGCACAGGAGGTCGTGGGTTCGATCCCGACCCTGTTTGCGTCTCTCTCTCATTATCATCATCATCACGGTGGCGAGGAGATGTTAACTACCTCGCCTGGTGCACAGGAGGTCGTGGGTTCGATCCCGACCCTGACGCCTGCTGCTGTATATTTGGAGTTTGCGTCTCTCATCATCATCACGGTGGCGAGGAGATGTTAACTACCTCGCCTGGTGCACAGGAGGTCGTGGGTTCGATCCCGACCCTGACGCCTGCTGCTGTATATTTGGAGTTTGCGTCTCTCATCATCATCACGGTGGCGAGGAGATGTTAACTACCTCGCCTGGTGCACAGGAGGTCGTGGGTTCGATCCCGACCCTGACGCCTGCTGCTGTATATTTGGAGTTTGCGTCTCTCTCTTTCTCGTGAAGGGCAGTGGGTGGTGAGGGGGCAGTGGGTGGTGAGGGGCAGTTGGTGGCGAGGGGGCAGTGTGTGTGTGTGTGCATGTGTGTGGGTGTGTGCGTGTGTGTGGGTGTGTGTGTGGGTGTGGGTGTGTGGGTGCGTGTGTGTGCGTGTGTGTGTGCGTGGGTGTGTGTGTGTGTGTGAGTGGTGGTGGGTTGAGCGTGTGTGAGAGAGTCTGGGTTCGTGCCGGATGATCCTGGTAGCACAAGTAGCTACTACATGTGCAGTAACTACTACACGTATAGTAGCTACTACACGTGTAGTAGCTACTACACGTGTAGTAGCTGCACGTGTAGTAGCTACTACACGTGTAGTAGCTACTACACGTGTAGTAGCTGCACGTGTTGTAGCTACACATGTAGTAGCTACACGTGTAGTAGCTACACGTGTAGTAGCTACACGTGTTGTAGCTACACGTGTTGTAGCTACACGTGTAGTAGCTACACGTGTAGTAGCTGCACGTGTAGTAGCTGCACGTGTTGTAGCTACACGTGTAGTAGCTACACGTGTAGTAGCTGCACGTGCAGTAGCTGCACGTGTAGTAGCTGCACGTGTAGTAGCTGCTACACTATACACTCAACACTACGCTATACACTACACTTTATACTACACTCTACACTACACTTTATACTACACTATACACTACACTATACACGCATGGGGTGTTCTCAGGCCCCGTTGTTTAAGTGCGCCTGTAAATCCACTTCATTGTTCGTATTATTATCATTGGGGGAACACAGGTGTGAGTGAGATAGTGGTGGTGGTGGGGCAGCAGGGCAGGTGAGATGACTAAGAAAGAACATCCATTTGACACGAAACCCCCTTTCAAAAGCACTTTGTCCCCAGCAGTTTAAACACGAACCCAAGTGGATCTTGACTACGTGGAGTGTGTCTGCGTGTTCGTGTGTGTGTGCGTGTTCGTGTGTGTGCGTGTGTGTGTGTCTGTGTGTGTGTGCTCAGCCTTCAGTGAAGTACCTGATACGGGTGTGTGAACACCGGCACTAGGGAGACAAAGGCCCCCATAGAGACCGATAGAGAAAGTAAGAGACGCATGGAGACCAGAAGTCGCAACTGGGTACCCGATACCCGTACCCTACCCGATACCCGGCTACCCAGTACCCTGCCGGGTACGGGTACCCGTTTGCAACCCTGGTGCGGCCGGGTACGGGTAGGCCGTGAGTCACTGGTGAGTCACCGTTTGTCACTCATTTCCCAACGTCTTGTCTCTTCTCACAATTCAAGTTCCTAGAATCAACCCACCCGCGCCTGCAACATGGCTTCATCCCAGAGATCGCAATCAGGTACCCGATACCCGTACCCTACCCCTACCCGTACCCAGCCGGGTACGGGTAGGGTACGGGTACGGCTGGGTACGGGTACCCGTTTGCGACCCTGGTGCGGCCGGGTACGGGTACGGGTAAGGAATCAAAACCCGTTTGCGACCTCTGATGGAGACCCAGAGAGACCCACCGAGACCGCACATTAAACCCACGTGTTGCCTGCCCTCCTTTGAGAGAGGAACAGTAACAGGACGGGAACTCAAACCTGCGATCCCTTATCAGTGCCCTACCTTATTACAGACCAATTCAGAACTTATCAGTCACCCCGTGCCACTTATAAATCTCAGCGTTCATCCTACAAAGTCTCATCACAAGGGAGAAACACTAAACGAATAGACGATCACCACCACTACACTCACCACTACACTCACTACTACTACACTCACCACTAGTACACTCACCACTACACTCACCACTAGTACACTCACCACTAGTACACTCACCACTACTACACTCACCACCACTAGTACACTCACCACTAGTACACTCACCACTACTACACTCACCACCACTAGTACACTCACCACTACTACACTCACCACGAGAACACTCACCACTAGTACACTCACCACTAGGACACTCACCACTACGACACTCACCACTACACTCACCACCACTACACTCACCACTAGTACACTCACCACTACACTCACCACCACTACACTCACCACTAGTACACTCACCACTACACTCACCACTAGTACACTCACCACTAGTACACTCACCACTAGTACACTCATCACTAGCACAAACACTACGAGTACACTCACCACTAGCACACTCACCACTAGCACACTCACCACTGCATCCCTGTCAACCTCTTATCAGTGCCCTACCTTATTACGGACCAATTCAGAACTTATCGATCACCCCGTGCCACTTATAATCTCAGCGTTCATCATACATCACAGTCCCATCACAAGGGAGAAACACCAACGAATAAACGCAATTTTTGTTTTGCCCGTATTGAAACGGCTGTGCGCCTATGGACCTGAAAAAACTCAATTTCCCTGTACAAGAAAACGGGGTAAAACCGTGCGGGTTGACACGGTATGCAAACTTTCTCTCTCTCTGCTGAAGCCTCTCTCGTCTTTGGGCAGCAGCAGCCAGCAGATCTCAACATTGGCACAGCAACTACTGCTCTTGTCACCATTGACAGGCAGACGAGTGTTTAGCGATGCACGTGTTGAACGTTGTGCTGGTGATGCTGCTACTGCTGCTGCTGTTGTTCTTATTATTATTACGAGGTTGAATATCGATGTGGCGTCGTTAAACCCCGCAGCCAACCCCGACACACGAAGCCGATGAGTAAAAATGGTTCGTCGCGTAGACAAAACGTGGACAGTGCGTTACCCAGTTTGGCATACACCGGTAGTAGTGATAATAAGAACAACGATAATGAACACATTTCTGCTGCAGAGGGAGCTGGTAGGAACGTTGGGTTTCTCGGTCAATGGCCAGGGTCAACGGCGGCGTGGTGTATTCCGCAAATATGCCCGACTGTGAGGGCGGGCACAAGCCGGCGTGAGTAGGTGAAACGTTGAGTTTTATAAGGGCACCACGGGGTGACCAGCCCCTCCCCACCCAGCCCCACCCCTCCCACCCCCCACCCAGCCCCTCCCCACATTCCCCTCTTCACCCAGCCCCACCCCTCCCAATTTTTGGATTCACGACGGACGGACGGACACAATAATCCCCTGTGGGCTGGTGGAACCAGGTGGTTCCTACCAGTGTAATTCCATTTATAGAGCGGCTCTTCATCAATAATATCAAAGCGCTGTACAGGACACAGCAGCAGCTGCATAAAAATAATGACATTATTAATACAAAAAATTAAAATCCATTTACTAAATGAACTCAAAGTTGAATAAGCGGAAGCGTTTAAAAATAGGGGTTTAAAAAAAACCGCAATTTTTAAACAAAATTGTGCTCCAGACAGAGAGAGAGATTTTTCGATTTAAAGCTTTCGTGACTGCAGGGATTCATCTTCTTGGTTCTTTCGGTAAAAGTCACGTAGAATGGAAATAATAAAATAATAAAAATTAAACAGACCTGGTCTTCACCTGAGGACGGCTGCTTGCGTTGTGGCCGAAACGTCGTGAGAATTATTTTATTATGTTTTATTTTATTATTTTATTCTTTCCATTCTACGTGACTTTACCGAAAGAACCAGGAAGAAGAGAGAGAGAGATCTTTCCGATGTTTGGTGGAAGAGCGTTCCACAGCCTGGGGGCTGACACGGGAAAATAAATCACGGTCGGAAACATAATCCCCCAAGGCTCGTAATTATGATATATAATATTCAAATGTGCTCAAAATGTCCCCGCCAAATATATTGCTATGAAAAGAATGTCTATGCTATGTAAATAAAAACAACACTTTGCTAAACCTTGGCCACAATATCTGGACTTGCCTTCATATAAATCAATGCGTATAGATTTCTTTTTCGATTTAAAGCTTTCGTGACTGCAGGGATTCATCTTCTTGGTTCTTTCGGTAAAGTCACGTAGAAGGGAAATAATAAAATAATAAAAGTAAAGCATAATTAAAAAAATATTTTATTTTCACGTAGAAGGGAAATAATAATAAAAAAATAACACATAATAAAATAATATTTTTTTATGTTTTATTTTAAAATAATTATTTTATTATGTTTTATTGATTTTATTTTATTATTTCCCTTCTACGTGACTTTACCGAAAGAACCAAGAAGCGTAGATTTCTGTTTATATGATTGTGGTTATGGTTGTACTTTATCAATCCCTAATCTCTGCCATTACATACAACGATACAAGAAATGGTAAAAAAAAAAAGTAAAAACAGAACCATGTAATTCAATGCACTATTAGACATTATTGGTAAATTCTAGATGTGAAGCTTTCGTGACTGCAAGGATTCATATTCTTAGGTTTTTTCGGTAAAGTCACGTAGGTAAAACATTAAAATTTATAAAAGTAAAATAAAATAAAAATAACGACGTTTCGGAGGCAACACAAGCTTCCGTCTTCAGGTGGAACCGTCACAGCCACGACAGCTGTATCAAGTAAATGAGAGATTACAAGAGCTACCATTATATAGGTAGCTCTTGTAATCTCTCACTTACTTGATACAGCTGTCGTGGCTGTGACGGTTCCACCTGAAGACGGAAGCTTGTGTTGCCTCCGAAACGTCGTGATTTTTATTTTATTTTACTTTTATTAATTTTAATGTTTTACCTACGTGACTTTACCGAAGAAACCTAAGAATATTATTGGTAAATATAAATAAAAAGTCCATCCCATGTGTGAGTGAATTTTTTAATATTTTAGGCAGAAATTTTGTTTCAAAATTTTGATATTTTTCTGGGTCGGGACCCCCAGACCCCCTGGAAGATTTGGTCCCCCCCAATGTTGACACCATGGCTACGGCCTTGGTAGACCTTGAGGGGGGGGCGGGGGGGGGGGTAACGTGTCCTTGTCACTGCGGTGTTTGTCGGAGAGTGTGGCCCCGCACACGCGAGGTTGAGCTACGAGAACCGTGACAATTCGTGGGATGATGACGACTACGACAACTACAACCTGATTCATCAGGTGATAACCAGAAAGTTTGTCTTCGTGCCACCCCCCCCCCCCCCCACGTGCTACCCCCCCTCCCCCCACGCCCTACCCCCCTCCCCCCCACGTCCTCCCCCCTCCCCCCACATCCTACCCCCCTCCCCCCACGTCCTACCCCCCTCCCCCCACGTCCTACCCCCCTCCCCCCACGTGCCCCCCCCCCCCCCCCACGTGCTCAGCACGGTCTCCTCCAGCATCAACGCTCTGGCCGCCGTGACGGTGGAGGACCTCGTGAGGCCGTGCTGCCCGGGCCTCGACCCACGCACCCTCTCGCGCCTCTCCATGGCCGCCAGTACGTAAGGGGGGGGGGGCGGGGGGGGCGGGGGGGGTGGGGGGCCCCCCCCTTTTTTTGGTGCCTTCAGTTGTGCCAGGAGACGTCGTCGGGGTTTGCCCGCTGGGTCGCGCGGTGTCCCTTTAAAGCGCGCAACTCGCGGGGCCGGGGGTTTCGTCCTCGTTGGGACTCATCAGCGTAGACCGCTATCGTAACAGGGGCAGTGGTGAGACAAAGTGGCGACTGTGGGCCGGGTTTCATGCTCATTAGGAATCATCAGCGTAGACCGCTATCAGAACGGGGGCAGCGTTGAGACAAAGCGCGCAAATTGTGGGCCGGGTTTCATTCTCACTGGGACTCATCAGTGCAGACCGCCATCGTAACAGGGCAGTAGTGAGACAAAGTGGCGACTGTGGGCCGGGTTTCATTCTCACTGGGACTCATCAGTGTAGACCGCTATCGGAACAGAGCAGTAGTGAGACAAAGTGGCGACTTGTGGGCCGGGTTTCATCCTCACTGGGACTCATCAGTGTAGACCGCCATCAGAACTGGGGCAGTGGGTGAGACAAAGTGGCGACTTGTGGGCGGGTTTCATTCTCACTGGGACTCATCAGTGTAGATCGCCTTCGGAACAGGGCGTGAGAATTGTATTTTATGATGTTTTATTTTTATTATTTTATTATTTCCCTTCTACGTGACTTTACCGACACACCTGTTCTTCACCTGAGGACGGTTGCTTGCGTTTGTGGCCGAAACGTCGTGAGAATTGTATTTTATTATGTTTTATTTTTATTATTTTATTATTTCCCTTCTACGTGACTTTACCGAAAGAACCAAGGAAATGAGCACAGCTCCTTCGGGAACCGCTCAAGGCTGTTTTTCTCTTTAAAAAAAAAATTTTGCACAACAACAACAACGACAACAACAACAAACAGCAGCAGAGGCAGATTGCCTCGCGCCACGTGGCGTGTCACGCGACACCTCGCTCCTGGTAACCCAACGCGCTCTGATTCCTCGCTCACCCCTCCCCTCCCCCCAGGCCTCCTCTACGGCGTTGTGTGCATCGCCATGGCGGTGTTGGCGTCTGTCATGGGCAGCCTCCTACAGGTGAGGGCAGCGTCGCACCACCCCCACCCCCCCAGGGGGCAGCGTCTCAGAGGGAGCGTCACGGGGCAGGGTCTCAGGTGCAGCGTCCAAGGAATTCTAGATTTGAAGCTTTCGTGACTGCAACGATTCATACTCTTCGGGTGTTTTCCGTAAAGTCACGTGGGTGAAAAAATTATGATAAAATAAAATTATAATAAATGAAAATAAATTTCGATGTAAAGCTTTCGTGACTGCAGGGAGTCATCTTCTTGGTTCTTTCGGTAAAGTCACGTAGAAGGGAAATCATAAAATAATAAAAAATAAAACATAATAAAATAATTCTCACGACGTTTCGGCCACAACGCAAGCAGCCGTCCTCAGGTGAAAACCAGACGCTGTCGCCTCGACAGACCTGGTTTTCACCTGAGGATGGCTGCTTGCGTTGTGGCCGAAACGTCGTGAGAATTATTTTATTATGTTTTATTTTATTATTTTATTACTTCCCTTCTACGTGACTTCGCCGAAAGAACCAAGAAGATGAAAATAAATTATGATAAAATAAAATAATAATAAATGAAAATAACTGAATTAAATCACGACGTTTCGGAGGCAACACAAGTCTCCGTCTTCAGGTGGGACCGTCACAGCCAAATTGACTGTATCTTGATTTAATTCAGTTATTTTCATTTATTCTTATTATTTTATTGTATTATTATTATTTTACCTACGTGACTTTACCGAAAAAACCTTAGAGCCAGCGTCCAAGGGGCAGCGTCTCAGGGCAGCGTCACATGGGCAGTGTCCCAGGGGGCAGCGTGACAGGGCAACGTCCCAGAGGGCAGCGTCCACATATATTCTGTAACAGGCTGTAGGGGCAAGTGCTGTTAGCGAGTAGCAGCACCTATGAAGGCTACCGGCGCTGTGGCACACGAGGGGGTGGGTGGCCAGCACCACGCCCGTCCGCCTTTGTCTCCCCAAGTGGCGATGATCTTTCCACACCGCAAACGAGGTACTCATTTGAGGCCGAGTCGACCTAGGGGAAGCTTTAGGAGCGGTTCAGATGATCGTCACTGGCGGTGTTGACGATGATGATGACGATGATGATGACGATGATGATTATGATGATGATGACAATGATGATGATGATGACGATGACGATGATGATTATGATGATGATGACGATGATGACGACGATGATGACGATGATGATGACGACGATGATGACGATGATGACGATGATGATTATGATGATGACGATGATGATTGACGATGATGATGATGACGATGATGATGACGATGATGATGATGACGATAATGACGATGATGACGATGATGATGATGACGATGATGACGATGATGACGATGATGATGACGACGATGATGACGATGATGACGACGATGATGATGATGATGACGATGATGATGACGACGACGATGATGACGATGACGATGATGATGACGACGATGATGACGATGATGACGATGATGACGACGATGATGACGATGATGATGATCATGATGACGATGATGATGACGACGATGATGACGACGCTGACGATGATGACGACGATGATGATGACGATGACGATGATGATCATGACGCTGACGACGATAATGATGACGATGATGACAATGATGATGACGATGATGACGATGATGACGCTGACGATGATGACGATGATGCTGCTGCCACGTTCGTATGATGCGCCCCCGTGACTGCGAGGTTCGAGACGAGGTCGAGGGGTAGAGGGGGGCGAGGGGGACAAGGGGGAGAGGGGGACAGGAGGTCGAGGGCGACGAGAGGGCGAGGGGGACGAGGGGGCGAGGGGTGCGAGGACGCGAGCCCTGACGAGGCACGGCCTGCCCCAGGTGTGAGCGCGGCCCCGGGCAGGTGAGGACACCCCACGTGACGCGCGTGTTTGCTTTCTGCGCCGATTGTTGCAGGCGGCGCTCAGCATATTCGGCATGATGGGGGGTCCCCTGCTGGGCCTCTACACGCTTGGAATGGTGTTCCCCTACGCCAACTCCAGCGTGAGTCCAAGTGTGTGCGCGTGTTTGTTTTGTCCTGCCACCAAAGAGAGCGTGGGATCGGAGGTTGAGATTTGATTTGGATTTTTCGCTCCTCTAATTCTGGTGACCCGAAGTCACTCTCGCGCACGAGACTCTTCTTGCGTTTGCTCTCATTCGGTTGAACAAGATCACCATCTCATTCGCTCACCATCTCACTCGCTCATTCGCTTACCCACTCACCCACCCATCTGACTCACCCACCGCTAATTCACTCACCCACCATCTCACGCATCCACCATCTCATTCACCCACTCATTCATGCACCCACCCACTCATTCGCTCATCCACCATCTCACTCACCCACTCATTCATGCACTCACACACCATCTGACTCACCCTCTCATTCACCCACTCATTCATGCACTCACCCAACATTTCATTCACCCACTCATTCATGCACTCACTCACCATGTGACTCGCGCACTCATTCACCCACTCATGCATGCACTCACCCATAATCTCATTCACCCACTCATTCATGCACTCACCCACCATCTGACTCACCCACTCATTCACCCACTCATTCATGCACTCACCCACCATCTCATTCACCCACTCATTCATGTACTCACCCATGATCTCATTCACCCACTCATTCACCCACTCACCCACCATCTGACTCACCCTCTCATTCACCCACTCATTCATGCACTCACCCAACATCTGACTCATCCTCTCATTCACCCACTCATTCATGCACTCACTCATCTCATTCACCCTCTCATTCACCCACTCATTCATGCACTCACCCACCATCTCATTTACCCACTCATGAATGCACTCACCCATCATCTCATTCACCCACTCATTCATGCATTCACCCATCATCGCATTCCTCCACTCATTTATGCACTCACCCACCATCTCATTCACCCACTCATTCATGCACTCACCCACCATCTGACTCACCCACTCATTCATGCACTCACCCACCATCTGACTCACCCACTCATTCACCCACTCATTTATGCACTCACCCACCATCTCATTCACCCACTCATTCATGCACTCACCCACCATCTGACTCACCCACTCATTCATGCACTCACCCACCATCTGACTCACCCACTCATTCACCCACTCATTCATGCATTCACCCACCATCTCGCTCCCCCAATCATTCGTGGATCCACACGTATTTATTAACTCCACGCAGCCAGTCGTTCTTGCAAGCGAGACTAGCCTGGCATTTTTGAGTTCGCACCTGAATACACAAAATGAAAACGTGAATCGTGAACCCGCCCCTGCTACTGCTACTCTCCCTACTGCTGCTCCTGCTGCTACTGCTCCTGTTCCTGCTGCTGCTACTGCTGCTGCTGCTACTGCTGCTACTGCTCCTGTTCCTGCTGCTGCTGCTCCTGCTGCTGCTGCTACTGCTGCTGCTGCTCTGCTGCTACTGCTGCTACTGCTGCTGCTACTACTGCTCCTGCTACTGCTGCTGCTCCTGCTACTGCTGCTGCTGCTCCTGCTACTGCTGCTGCTGCTGCTCCTGCTGCTGCTGCTCCTGCTGCTGCTGCTGCTACTACTGCTCCTGCTACTGCTGCTGCTCCTGCTACTGCTGCTGCTGCTCCTGCTACTGCTGCTGCTGCTGCTCCTGCTGCTGCTGCTCCTGCTGCTGCTGCTGCTACTACTGCTCCTGCTACTGCTGCTGCTCCTGCTACTGCTGCTGCTGCTCCTGCTACTGCTGCTGCTACTACTGCTCCTGCTACTGCTGCTGCTCCTGCTGCTGCTGCTCCTGCTGCTACTGCTACTGCTGCTACTGCTCCTGCTACTGCTGCTGCTCCTGCTACTGCTGCTACTGCTGCTGCTCCTGCTGCTGCTGCTACTGCTGCTGCTGCTACTGCTGCTACTGCTCCTGTTCCTGCTGCTGCTGCTCCTGCTGCTGCTGCTCCTGCTGCTGCTGCTACTGCTGCTGCTGCTCCTGCTGCTGCTGCTGCTCCTGCTGCTGCTGCTGCTGCTCCTGCTGCTCCTGCTGCTACTGCTGCTGCTGCTCCTGCTGCTACTGCTGCTGCTCCTGCTGCTGTTGCTCCTGCTGCTGCTACTATTGCTGCTGCTGCTACTGCTGCCTGCCTGCCGTGATTGTGCGCTCCGTTGGCTGTCAGGGCGCCCTCGTGGGTCTGGCTCTGGGCTTCGGCCTCTCGCTGTGGCTGGGGGTCGGGGCCCAGGTCTACCCGCCGCTGGCCCACAGGACGATGCCCCTCGCGCTCTCCACGGCGGGATGCCGCCTCCTGAACGCGACGATGAGCAACAGCAGCAGCAGCAGCGGCGCACACGACTCGTACTCCTCGCCTGCTGATCATGGCAGGCGAGTGGGCAGGCGCAGACAGCACCAGCTGGCAACGCCACTACTACACCATCAACACTACTACACCACTACAACAACACTACTACACCACTACTACTACACCACCAACACCACTACACCACCATCACTACCACTACACCACCACCACCACCCCCACTACACCACCACCAACACCACCACTACCAACACCACCACCACTACCACACCAACACCACCACCACCCCCCACCACCCCCACCACCACCCACCAACACCACCCACCCACCACCACCCCCTACCGCCACCCCTCACCACCACCCCCCCACCACCCCACCATCCACCACCACCACCCACCCACCACCACCACCCCCCACCACCACCCCCCACCAAACTCCACCACCACCCCCACCACCACCACCCCCCACCACCACCACCCCCCCACCAGACACACACACACCCACGTCGTAGCTCGAGAGCTACCCACACTCTACCCCACCACCACCACGACCACCACGTGACCTGCCTGCCCTGTACCACCACGTGACCTGCCTGCCCTGTACCACCACGTGACCTGCCTGCCCTGTACCACCACGTGACCTGCCTGCCCTGTACCACCACGTGAGTGAGGGGGGGTGGGGATTGACAAACTTGAACCTTTGACTGGCGAGTCCATCAATAACAACCCCATAGGAACATCCATTCACCTTCACACACAAAGACAAAGATCCCCCGTGTAGCCTTAACACACTGCAGGGGCAGGTGCCGTTAGCGAGTAGCAGCAGCACCACCCTATGAAGGCCGGCACGGCACACGAGGTGGTGGGTGGTTCAGCACCACGCCCGGCCGCCTTTGTCTCCCTCCTGGCGATGTTTACTAGACACCGCAGCAGGTACTCATTCGAGTCTGAGTCGACCTAGAGGTGGCCCAGGGCCGCTTCGATTCCCGCTCACGGCCAACATCGCCGACGATTTATCCGAAGCGGTCGTGGGCCTCCCCTAGGTCGACTCGGTGATGTTGGCCGTGAGCGGGAATCGAACCGGTCCTGGGCCTCCTCTAGGTCGACTCGGCCTCAAACGAGTAGCTGGCGCGGTGTGTAGTAAACATCGCCGTTGGGGAGACAAAGGCGGCCTGGGTGGTGTTGACCACCTACCGGCCCACGTGTGCCGTGCCGGCTTTTATTAAGTGTTCACGAACGGCACTTGCCCCCTAACAGGCAGTTCAAAGGCTATACGGAGGATGTTTATCTTTGTTTTCTGTCAGCTCAGTGTCTCTAAATCACACTACGCGTGACCACATGGGTGGCTCGGCTTGCGATGGGGGGGTGGGGGACGACTTCTAAGCCACGCAGGAACCACCTCAGCACGGCCCCAACACAGCTCGGATGTGCCAGTGGAAAAACAAAGAGCGGGTTAGCTTCATCATGGGGCCTCCTTTGCCAGTACCAAAATATACTAATAGTAAAATAATGAATACATTATTATTTTATTACTTCAATTCTACGTGACTTTACCGAAAGAACCAAGAAGATGAATCCCCGCAGTCACGAAAGCTTTAAATCGAAAAATACTAATAGTATATGATGACGCCTTTTGGCGTCATCTGGTCGAACGCCATGTGAGACTAGGCTCTAAAGAAAGCTGTCTCTGGTGTGGACCAATCAGTTTCAAAGACAATACATAAATTATCAGAGTATTGTTTTTTGTTTGCATTTGACTGCAAGTATTGTGGTCAATGTAGACATGATTCCTTGCAAAAGGTGTCAGTTTTGTTGCCAGAAAAAAGGGGAAACCCCCTATTAGTATATTTTGGTACTGGCAAAGGAGGTCCTATGATGTAGCTGCTCACCCCGAGCTCTCATTACTCTGGTAGTGCGGTGTCTTAGAACTGTGTGCCTTTTGGCGTCATCTGGTCGAACACCATATGATACTAGGCTCTAAAGAAAGCTGTCTGGTGTGGACCAATCAGTTTCAAAGACAATGCATACATTATCAGAGTATTGTTTTTTGTTTGCATTTGACTGCAAGTATTGTGGTCAATGTGAGCATGATTCCTTGCAAAGGTGTCAGTTTTACACCATTGGAACCTCATTTGCCAGTAAAAAATATCATTATTGTTTTTTTACCCTTCTATCTGGCAACAAAACTGACACCTTTTTTACAAGGAGTCATGTTTGCATAGACCACAATACCTGCAGTCATAATGCAAAAAAAACATAACTCTGAAAATGTGCACTGTCCGTTGAAGTTGATTGGTCCAGAGCCTAGTCTCACATGGGTTGAACCAGATGACGCCAAAAGGTGCACTAGGCTCTAAGGAAAGCTGTCTCGGGTGTGGACCAATCAACTTCAATGACAGTGCATACATTATCAGAGTTATGTTTTTGTTTGCATTATGACTGCAGGTATTGTGGTCAACGCAAACATGACTCCTTGTAAAAAGGTGTCAGTTTTGTTGCCAGATAAAAGGGTAAAAAAACAATTATCATATTTTTACTGGCAAATGAGGTTCCAATGGTGTAAATGCTTAACCCCAAGCTCTCATACTCTGATGGTGCATTGTCTTTGAGTTGTGCGCCTTTTGGCGGCATCTGGTCCAACATCATGTGAGACTAGGCTATAAGGAAAGCTGTCTCGGGTGTGGACCAATCAACTTCAAGGACAGTGCATATCATTATCAGAGTTATGTTTTTTTCTTCTTGGTTCTTTCGGTAAAGTCACGTAGAAGGGAAGTAATAAAATAATAAAAAAATAAAACATAATAAAACAATTCTCACGACGTTTCGGCCACAACGCAAGCAGCCGTCCTCAGGTGAAAACCAGGTCCACCTGAGGACGGCTGCTTGCGTTGTGGCCGAAACGTCGTGAGAATTGTTTTATTATGTTTTATTTTTTTATTATTTTATTACTTCCCTTCTACGTGACTTTACCGAAAGAACCAAGAAGATGAATCCCTGCAGTCACGAAAGCTTTAAATCGAAAGTTATGTTTTTGTTTGCATTATGACTGCAGGTATTGCGGTCTATGCAAACATGACTCCTTGTAAAAAAAGGTGTCAAATTTGTAGCCAGATAGAAGGGTAAAAAAACAATTATCACGGTGTCAGTTTTGTTGCCAGAAAAAAGGAGAAAAAACCCCTATTAGTATATTTAGCGGGTTCGCTGTTACCGCTGAGATCCGCATTGTTCGGATTCGGATTCAGTGCGGATCCTTTGAGGGTGCTGAGTTGAGGGCCTTAGCCTCCGGTCACCACTGCCTACCTCAGTGGCCATCGTAACCGTCACTGGAGGTGCCCTAGACCAGAGCACACATTGTTAACACATCGCAAGGGGCTGGCAGACTGATGCACAGGGCCAGCTGCCACTGGGGGTCTCCTAGGCTGGGTCTACACAGCGGCAGCGATCATCGGCAAAGTGTCACTCGTCTGACTGGTTTCTCACCTGCTTGAACAAATCCACCTTTGATGAGGAAGGGTACAGCTCAGAGTTCGCAACCGGGTACCCGATACCCGTACCCTACCCGAGAACCGGCTATCCGTACCCGGCCGGGTACGGGTACGGGTAGCCGTTTGCGACCCTGGTGCGGCCGGGTACGGGTAGGCCGTGAGTCACTGGTGAGTAACCATTTGTCACTCATTTCGGGTAGGGAACGGGTACCCGTACCCGGCCATTTGCGACCCTGGTGCGGCCGGGTACGGGTATGCCGTGAGTCACTGGTGAGTCACCGTTTGTCACTCATTTCGGGTAGGGAACGGGTACCCGTACCCGGCCATTTGCGACCCTGGTGCGGCCGGGTACGGGTACGGGTAAGGAATCAAAACCCGTTTGCGACCTCGGGTACAGCTACTTGGAGGTTGGGACCATGATGAGGAGATGAGACACGTGATGTGGAGGGTGGTGGAGGTAGTGATGGGTGGGACACGTGGTGTGGAGGGTGGAGGAGGTGATGGGTGGGACACGTGGTGTGGAGGGTGGAGGAGGTGGTGATGGGTGGGACACGTGGTGTGAGGGTGAAGGAGGTGGTGATGGGTGGGACACGTGGTCTGCAGGGTGGAGGAGGTAGTGATGGGTGGGACACGTGGTGTGAGGGTGGAGGAGGTAGTGATGGGTGGGACACGTGGGGTGGAGGGTGGAGGAGGTAGTGATGGGTGGGACACGTGGTGTGGAGGGTGGAGGAGGTAGTGATGGGTGGGACACGTGGTGTGGAGGGTGGAGGAGGTAGTGATGGGTGGGACACGTGGTGTGCAGGGTGGAGGAGGTGGTGATGGGTGGGACACGTGGTGTGAGGGTGGAGGAGGTGGTGATGGGTGGGACACGTGGTGTACAGGGTGGAGGAGGTGGTGATGGGTGGGACACGTGGTGTGCAGGGTGGTGGAGGTGGTGATGGGTGGGACACGTGGTGTGCAGGGTGGAGGAGGTGGTGATGGGTGGGACACGTGGTGTGGAGGGTGGTGGAGGTGGTGATGGGTGGGACACGTGGTGTGCAGGGTGGAGGAGGTGGTGATGGGTGGGACACGTGGTGTGAGGGTGGAGGAGGTGGTGATGGGTGGGACGCGTGGTGTACAGGGTGGAGGAGGTGGTGATGGGTGGGACACGTGGTGTGCAGGGTGGAGGAGGTGGTGATGGGTGGGATGCGTGGTGTGCAGGGTGGTGAAGGAGGTGGTGATGGGTGGGACACGTGGTGTGGAGGGTGGAGGAGGTGGTGGTGGGTGGGACACGTGGTGTGGAGGGTGGAGGAGGTGGTGGTGGGTGGGACACGTGGTGTGAGGGTGGTGGAGATGGTGATGGGTGGGACACGTGGTGTGCAGGGTGGTGGAGGAGGTGGTGATGGGTGGGACACGTGGTGTGCAGGGTAGAGGAGGAGGTGGTGATGGGTGGGACACGTGGTGTGAGGGTGGAGGAGGTGGTGATGGGTGGGACGCGTGGTGTACAGGGTGGAGGAGGTGGTGATGGGTGGGATGCGTGGTGTGCAGGGTGGTGAAGGAGGTGGTGATGGGTGGGACACGTGGTGTGGAGGGTGGAGGAGGTGGTGGTGGGTGGGACACGTGGTGTGCAGGGTGCAGGAGGTGGTGATGGGTGGGACACGTGGTGTGCAGGGTGGTGGAGGTGGTGATGGGTGGGATGCGTGGTGTGCAGGGTGGTGAAGGAGGTGGTGATGGGTGGGACACGTGGTGTGGAGGGTGGAGGAGGTGGTGGTGGGTGGGACACGTGGTGTGGAGGGTGGGGGAGGTGGTGATGGGTGGGACACGTGGTGTGCAGGGTGGTGGAGGAGGTGGTGATGGGTGGGACACGTGGTGTGCAGGGTGGAGGAGGTGGTGATGGGTGGGACACGTGGTGTGGAGGGTGGAGGAGGTGGTGGTGGGTGGGACACGTGGTGTGGAGGGTGGAGGAGGTGGTGGTGGGTGGGACGCGTGGTGTACAGGGTGGAGGAGGTGGTGATGGGTGGGACGCGTGGTGTGCAGGGTGGAGGAGGAGGTGATGGGTGGGACACGTGGTGTGCAGGGTAGAGGAGGAGGTGGTGATGGGTGGGACGCGTGGTGTACAGGGTGGTGGAGGTGGTGATGGGTGGGACACGTGGTGTACAGGGTGGTGGAGGTGGTGATGGGTGGGACACGTGGTGTGCAGGGTGGAGGAGGTGGTGATGGGTGGGACGCGTGGTGTGCAGGGTGGAGGAGGAGGTGATGGGTGGGACACGTGGTGTGGAGGGTGCAGGAGGTGGTGATGGGTGGGACGCGTGGTGTGCAGGGTGGAGGAGGAGGTGGTGGGTGGGACACGTGGTGTAGAGGGTGGAGGAGGTGGTGATGGGTGGGACACGTGGTGTGGAGGGTGGAGGAGGTGGTGATGGGTGGGACACGTGGTGTGCAGGGTGGTGGAGGAGGTGGTGATGGGTGGGACACGTGGTGTGGAGGGTGGAGGAGGTGGTGATGGGTGGGACACGTGGTGTGGAGGGTGGACGAGGTGGTGATGGGTGGGACACGTGGTGTGAGGGTGGTGGAGGTGGTGATGGGTGGGACACGTGGTGTGCAGGGTAGAGGAGGAGATGGTGATGGGTGGGACACGTGGTGTGGAGGGTGGAGGAGGGGGTGATGGGTGGGCCGCGTGGTGTGGAGGGTGGAGGAGGTGGTGGTGGGTGGGACACGTGGTGTGCAGGGTGGAGGAGGTGGTGATGGGTGGGACACGTGGTGTGAGGGTGGAGGAGGTAGTGATGGGTGGGACACGTGGTGTGGAGGGTGGAGGAGGTGATGGGTGGGACACGTGGTGTGCAGGGTGGAGGAGGTGGTGATGGGTGGGACACGTGGTGTGCAGGGTGGAGGAGGAGGTGGTGATGGGTGGGACGCGTGGTGTGGAGGGTGGAGGAGGTGGTGATGGGTGGGACACGTGGTGTGCAGGGTAGAGGAGGAGGTGGTGATGGGTGGGACGCGTGGTGTGGAGGGTGGAGGAGGTGGTGATGGGTGGGACACGTGGTGTGCAGGGTGGAGGAGGAGGTGATGGGTGGGACACGTGGTGTGCAGGGTGGAGGAGGTGGTGATGGGTGGGACGCGTGGTGTGCAGCGTGGAGGAGGTGGGGATGGGTGGGACACGTGGTGTACAGGGTGGAGGAGGTGGTAATGGGTGGGACACGTGGTGTACAGGGTGGAGGAGGTGGTAGTGATGGGTGGGACGCGTGGTGTGAAGGTGGAGGAGGTGGTGATGGGTGGGACGCGTGGTGTGGAGGGTGGAGTAGGTGGTAGTGATGGGTGGGACACGTGGTGTGGAGGGTGGAGGTAGTGATGGGTGGGACACGTGGTGTGGAGGGTGGAGGAGGTGGTGATGGGTGGGACGCGTGGTGTGCAGGGTGGAGGAGGTGGTGATGGGTGGGACGCGTGGTGTGTAGGGTGGAGGAGGTGGTGATGGGTGGGACGAGTGGTGTGCAGGGTGGAGGAGGAGGTAGTGATGGGTGGGACACGTGGTGTGGAGGGTGGAGGTGGTAGTGATGGGTGGGACACGTGGTGTGGAGGGTGGAGGTGGTAGTGATGGGTGGGACGCGTGGTGTGCAGGGTGGAGGAGGGGGTGATGTGTGGGACGAGTGGTGTGGAGGATGGAGGAGGTGGTGGTGATGGGTGGGACGTGTAGTGTGGAGGATGGAGGAGGTGGAGGTGATGGGTGGGACACGTGGTGTGGAGGGTGGAGGAGGTGGTGATGGGTGGGACGAGTGGTGTGAGGGTGGAGGAGGTAGTGATGGGTGGGACGAGTGGTGTGTAGGGTGGAGGAGCTGGTGATGGGTGGGACGAGTGGTGTGCATGGTGTAGGAGGAGGTGGTGATGGGTGGGACGCGTGGTGTGAGGGTGGAGGAGGTAGTGATGGGTGGGACGAGTGGTGTGTAGGGTGGAGGAGCTGGTGATGGGTGGGACGAGTGGTGTGCAGGGTGTAGGAGGAGGTGTTGATGGGTGGGACGTGTGGTGTGCAGGGTGGAGGAGGAGGTAGTGATGGGTGGGACACGTGGTGTGGAAGGTGGAGAAGGAGGTGATGGGTGGGACACGTGGTGTAGAGGGTAGAGGAGGAGGTAGTGATGGGTGGGACGCGTGGTGTGAGGGTGGAGGAGGTCGTGATGGGTGGGACGAGTGGTGTGCAGGGTGGTGGAGGTGATGATGGGTGGGACAAGTGGTGTGAGGGTGGAAGAAGAGGTGATGGGTGGGACGCGTGGTGTAGAGGGTGGAGGAGGTCACCGTGAAGGACATGGCGTGACACCCAGAGGTTGGATACCAATGGGGGTAGTAGGTGGGGGGGGGGGGGGGGAGGGAACACGCCGGGCTCGAGATTGGGGACAAAACCTCGATCGGCTTTTACGATCAACGTCTACGGCCCCGCTCGGGCCAATGTCGGCATGCGCGTTTATGCAACCGCAGTAAAAAATCCAAAATAAACACACGGCTGGGCAATATTTGGGGTTTACGGCTCTGCAAATAGAAAGACCTTGACGGGACTACCACCACGACTACTACCCCCGGTCGTCTGACTGTAAGATCTGAGCCGCGTCGATTGGTTGACCCGTTGAATCCCCACCACCCAACCCACCCAACCCACCTTGGGTTGAGGACAAGCCGTAAAGTGACCCGTTCTAAAAGGCGATCGGCTGTCGGCGGCTCAACTTGTAATCACGGCGTGCCCATCGCGGCTACCGTTCACTCGGCTCTGCGAGGACACGTGTCGTCTCGTGCAACCCACGGACTCACTCGTCCGCTCACCCAACCGATCACAGACTCACTCGTCTGCTCACCCACCCGATCACGGACTCACTCGTCCGCTCACCCAACCGATCACAGACTCACTCGTCTGCTCACCCACCCGATCACGGACTCACTATTTTCTAGAAGGTATCGCTGATTCCCCGGCCGCTCGCTCCCTGTAATTGGGGGGGTGAGGATGTGGGGGGGGGGTCGGCACGTGGTTCCGCGCTCACAGACAACAAACTGACCACAAAAAGTCGTCGGTGATGACGAGGATGATGATGACGATGATGATGACGATGATGACGACGATGAAGACGACGATGATGACGATGATGACGACGACGATGAAGACGACGATGATGACGACGATGATGACGATGACGACGATGATGACGACGACGATGATGATGACGACGATGATGATGACGATGATGACGACGACAATGATGATGACAACGATGACGACGATGACGACGGCGATGACAACGATGATGACGACGATGATGACAACGATGACGACGATGATGACGACGATGATGACGACGACGACGATGACGATGATGACGACGATGATGACGACGACGATGACGACGATGACAATGATGACAACGACGATGATGACGACGACGATGACGATGATGACAACGACGATGATGATGATGACAATGATGACAACGACGATGATGACGACGACGATGACGATGATGACGACGATGATGACGACGACGATGACGACGATGATGACGACGATGATGACGACGATGACGACGATGACGACGATGATGACGACGACGATGACGACGATGACGACGATGATGACGATGATGATGACGATGATGACGACGACGATGACGACGATGACGACGATGACGACGATGATGACGACGACGACGATGACGACGATGATGACGATGATGACAACGACGATGATGACGACGATGATGACGATGATGATGACGATGATGATGACGACGATGACGACGATGACGACGATGATGACAACGATGATGATGACGACGACGATGACGACGACGATGACGATGATGACGACAATGACGACAACGATGATGATGACGACGATGACAACGACGATGACGACGCCGATGACGACGATGATGACGACGATGACGACGACGACGATGACGATGATGATGACGATGACGATGATGACGACGATGACGACGGTGACGACGACGATGACGACAACGATGACGATGATGATGATGATGACGATGATGATGACAATGACGACGACGGCGATGATGACAACGACGACGATGACGACGATGATTGCGCGTGTGACCACCCCCGCCCCCCTCTACCTTGACCCCGCCAGGCCCGCTCTGGCTGACACGTGGTACTCGCTCTCCTACCTCTACTTCAGCGCTGTGGGGACCGTGGCGGTCGTCGCGCTCGGCCTTCTGGGAAGCTTCCTCTTCGGTCAGAACTACACGCTGCTGTTGCCTAGCGACGCTGTTGTTGCCTAGCGACGCTGTTGTTGCCTCTAGCGACGCTGTTGTTCTAGCGACGCTGTTGTTGCCTAGCGACGCTGTTGTTGCCTCTAGCGACGCTGTTGTTGCCTCTAGTGACGCTGTTGTTGCCTCTAGTGACGCTGTTGTTGCCTAGCGACGCTGTTGTTGCCTCTAGTGACGCTGTTGTTGCCTAGCGACGCTGTTGTTGCCTCTAGTGACGCTGTTGTTGCCTCTAGTGATGCTGTTGTTGCCTAGTGACGCTGTTGTTGCCTCTAGTGACGCTGTTGTTGCCTAGCGACGCTGTTGTTGCCTCTAGCGACGCTGTTGTTGCCTCTAGTGACGCTGTTGTTGACTAGCGATGCTGTTGTTGCCTCTAGTGATGCTGTTGTTGCCTAGCGACGCTGTTGTTGCCTAGCGATGCTGTTGTTGCCTAGTGACGCTGTTGTTGCCTCTAGTGATGCTGTTGTTGCCTAGCGACGCTGTTGTTGCCTAGCGACGCTGTTGTTGCCTAGTGACGCTGCTGTTGCCTAGCGATGCTGTTGTTGCCTCTCGTGATGCTGTTGTTGCCTAGCGACGCTGTTGTTGCCTAGCGATGCTGTTGTTGCCGAGTGATGCTGTTGTTGCCTCTAGTGACGCTGTTGTTGCCTCTAGTGACGCTGTTGTTGCCTAGCCACGCTGCCCCCACCCACTCACTCCACTTGCTGCCCTCACCCACTCACTCCACGCTGCCCCCTCCACTCTCTCCACTTGCTGCCCCCAGCGGGACGAGAGAAGGGTGTTGCACGCGACCCGACGCTCTTCGTGTGGGCGAGCGACTCGTCGTGCGGCCGGGCCTGCCCCCTGCTGCCCTTCTCGTCGGGCAGCAACGGCGGCAAGGAGGAGGGGGAGGACGCTGCCACCCACAGGCTGGAGGTGACCCCACATCGCTCGCAAGCAGAGTCGTCATTGACGTCTGTTGTTGTTGGTGGTGTTGTTGTTGATGTTGTTGTTGGTGTTGTTGTTGGTGGTGTTGGTGTTGTTGGTGTTTGTTGGTGTTGGTGTTGGTGTTGTTGGTGTTGTTGGTGTTTGTTGGTGTTGGTGTTGTTGGTGTTGTTGTTGTTGTTGTTGGTGTTGTTGGTGTTGTTGGTGTTGGTGTTGTTGGTGTTGTTGGTGTTGTTATTGTTGCTGTTGGTGTTGTTGTTGTTGGTGTTGTTGGTGTTGGTGTTGTTGTTGTTGTTGGTGTTTCTGTTGCTGCTGCTGTTGTTGCTGTTGGTGTTGTTGGTGTTGTTGTTGTTGTTGCTGTTGTTGTTGTTGCTGTTGGTGTTGTTGCTGTTGTTGGTGGTGTTGTTGTTGTTGCTGTTGTTGGTGTTGTTGGTGTTGTTGTTGCTGTTGTTGTTGTTGCTGTTGTTGCTGTTGTTGTTGTTGCTGTTGGTGTTGCTGTTGGTATTGCTGTTGTTGTTGCTGTTGTTGTTGTTGCTGTTTTTGGTTGTTGCTGTTGTTTTTGTTATAGTTGTTGCTGTTGGTTTTCCTGTTGTTGTTGCTGTTGCAGTTATTGTAGTGAAGTTGGTGGTGGAGTGGGTGGAGTAGGCGGTGGTGTGGCTAGAGTTATCGAAGGTGGTGGGCAGGTCGCAATACAGCGTCCATAACAGCATTGAAACATTCACCCATGGCGTCACCTCTCTGCCTCGCTCTCCGCGTGTCTGCAGGTCGCTGCTGCTGCTGCCACCGCTGGCTGGGATGGATCTCTGGCCGGGATGGAGAACGGCAGCTACGTGGCGGACAAAGTGGGCCAAGGCGACCCCACGCCACTCCCGAGCAAGAGCACGCGCCTCTGACGCGCCTGTGACGTGGCCTGTGACGTAGCCTCTGACGTACTCTGTGACGTAGCCTCTGACGCGCCTCTGACGCGCCTGTGACGTAGTCTGTGACGTAGTCTGTGACGTAGTCTGTGACGTAGTCTGTGACGTGGCCTCTGACGCGCCTCTGACGCGCCTCTGACGCGCCTCTGACGCGCCTGTGACGTAGTCTGTGACGTAGCCTGTGACGTAGCCTCTGACGCGCCTCTGACGCGCCTCTGACGCGCCTGTGATGTAGCCTGTGACGTATTCTGTGACGTAGCCTGTGACGTGGCCTGTGACGCGCCGGGGGCCCAAGGGGGGTGCGGATTCGCCCATCGGATTTTTCAATTTTTGTGACATTCGCAAGACGTCGTGTTACCGCCGGTGACGGCGGTAATAAACCACCCATTGGAACGCCGCTGGATTTCCGTGGTTGATATGTCGCGATGGGGGGCGGTGGTGGGAGGCGGTAGGGGGGGGGTGGTGGGGGGGCGGTGGTGTTGGGGGGGGCATGTGCCGAGCTGGCGTCATGCAGCAGCTTCCGCACCACGTGCGGCATCGTCGTCATTGTCGTCATCATCGTCATCGTCGTCGTCATCATCGTCGTCGTCATTATCCTCATCGTCGTCGTCATTATCGTCATCATCGTCATCGTCGTCGTCATCATCGTCATCGTCGTTGTCATCGTCGTCGTCATCGTCATCATTGTCGTCATCGTCATCATTGTCGTCGTCGTCATCGTCATCATCGTCGTCGTCGTCATCGTCGTGAAACTAGCTATCAAAAAAGCCAAAAATTACTTCGCAATTGGCCCGGATGGAATAGCTACATCCCATCTCAAACACCTCGGCCCGCTTGGCATGAAGTTTCTCGCCTCCACCATCAACGCCTCACTCCCAATGCAACCTCATTGCGGCCATCTTGAAATCATCGGCAATCATTCCACTTCCAAACCCGGCAAAAACCTCAATCAAGCAACGTCCTACAGGCCGATCTCCCTACTTTGCCCATCAATCAAGATTTTAGAGGCCCTCATTCTTCCAAACATCACCACCAACTTACTTCCATCATCTCAGCAACACGGCTTTCGCCCTGCACAATCAACAACAACAGCTCTGCTCAACCTAACCACCCAAATTGCAAACGGTTTCAATGAGAACAAGTATAACCCGTAAAAACAAAGTTTTTCACTATAAATCCTTTATATGCGTGGCGGCTAGAGTCCTCTCGTCCTCTGGCTTGAGATGGCTGCCACCTATGGGTCAGATGATTGTCTGCCAGTATTAAGCAATTGGTAATTAAGCAATTGGTAATTTAATTTTTTTCCCTAAACAGTATAACATTTTTGAAAGAATTTTTCACGAACATTAATTGTCTCGCACAACGAGTCTGTGTGGGAAATGTCAGCTCGATTGGATCACGGGAAGTGGGTTAAAAAACGACCGAAAGATTTGCACGGTCGTAAGCAAGCACGCAAGCACGCAAGCAAGCAAGAAAGCGAACTTAATATAAAGGATTTAAAAAGCCCCCATCTCGCACTATCGTCGCCTCCCTTGACCTTACAAAGGCTTTCGGGACCGTTAATCACCTCACGCTCCATTGGAACCTCATTTGGCAGAAGAAAAAATATGATAATTGTTTTTTACCCTTTTATTTGGCAACCAAATTTACACCTTTTTACTTTTTACAAGGAGTCATGTTTGCATTGACCACAATACCTGCAGTCGTAATGCAAACAGAAAATATAACTCTGATAATGTATGCACCGTCCTTGAAGTTGATTGGTCCACACCCGAGACAGCTTTCCTTAGAGCCCAGTCTCACATGGTGTTGGACCAGATGACGCCAAAAGGCGCACAACTCAAAGACAACGCACCATCAGAGTATGAGAGCTCGGGGTAAGCATTTACACCATTGGAACCTCATTGGTTCATCAACATCATGGCTCATCAACATCATCCGTGGTTCTACGCTACCATCAGGCCTTGCTTGCTGGCTTACAAATTACCTAAGAGGCCGCCAAATCACGTGTTCTCTTCCATGATATGCAATCCTCCTAACGAAACATTTATGCAGGAGTAACCCACAAGGTTCCATAATATCCCCGGTGCTGTTCAACGCCTACCTCCACGATCTACCAAACTCCTCCAAAAGGAGTACAAGTATTCGGCTATGCCGACGACATCATAGTTTACACTTCTAATCAAAATACAGTAATCCCTCTCCACTTCACGGTTCAAGTTTCGCGGCCTCAGTGCATCGCGGATTTTTCGAACTGATTTAAAGGCCTCATTATAGCTGTGCAGTAACACCATCATCATCATCATTCATCATCACATTCATCGAACTGCACAGGTCTGTCGTCATCGTCATTGTCATCGTCGTCGTCGTCATTACTGGAGTCAAGTCTCAAGGTACTACTGTCATTGGTGAGTGTAGAACACCACAATACGTATCGTATGAGAGAGAGAGAGTGAATGTATAATATTAAGGTTTTATAATTAAATAGATTTAAGTAAAAATTTTAAGGCCACTCCACAGAGACTATCTCCCTCTCTGTACCTGTGTTACTCTCTCTCTATGTATCTTGGTGATATCTGTCTGCTTATATGTCTGTATATAGTTTTTTCTGGTTAGAAATGTTTGTTGCTATTTCATTTATACCTGATGATGATTGCTTGTGTTGCAATCGAAACGTCGTGATTTTTATTTTATTTTACTTTTATTAATTTAAAATTTTTACCTACGTGACTTTACCGAAAAAAACCTAAGAATATATATATAAAGTATAAATATACATATTTTAAACATTCTGGTACCCACACACACACACATATACGGAAATTCCTAGGGGGCCAATCCTACTTCGCGGATTTTCACCTATCGTGAGGGGTTCCGGTCCCCTTTAACCGCGATAAACGAGGGATCACTGCATTCCCAAAATAGAAAACTCCATCAACTCCAAATTTAAAACGGCTCAGGAGTTTCCTAGACAATAGATCGCTTCAATTCTCAACATCCAAATCAACAGTCACCCTTTTCACACCTGATCCTCTTCAAGACAACTTACATCCCAACGTCATAATACAAAACCAACGCCTCCCGCTAGCAAAACCCTCCCTAAATTCTAGGTGTAACCTTTGACACCATATTCTTAATCTCAATTTTGGAGCTTTCGTGACTGCAGGAATTATTCTTTGGTTCTTTCGGTTAAGTCACGTCTAAAGAAACGTCGTAGTTTGCTATTATTTAATTTATTATTTTATCTTTTTACGTGACTTAACCGAAAGAACCAAAGAACCATAATCTTAGGTTTCTTCGGTAAAGTCACGTAGGTAAAAAATTAAAATTAATAATATTATCATATTATATTATTATATTATATTATTTTATTTTTTATTTTATTTTACTTTTATTAATTTAAAATTTTTACCTACGTGACTTTACCGAAAAAACCTAAGAATATGAATCCTTGCAGTCACGAAAGCTTCAAATCTAGAACTCTGACACCATTTTCAGCTTCGCTCAACACGGCAGAAACGTCCACGCAAAAGTTAGCAAACGAAATAACATCTCGCGAGCTTTAGCGGGCAAATCTTGGGGTCAACAAAAGGAGACTTTACTCCTAACCTACAAAGTCATTGGACGTCCCATCGTCAATTATGCCAGTCCCATTTGTGGTCTCAAACCTCTCCTCTGCATTCTAGATTTGAAGCTTTCGTGACCGCAAGGATTCATATTCTTAGGTTTTTTTTCGGTAAAGTCACGTAGGTAAAAAAAAACATTAAAATTTAAATTAGTAAAAGTAAAATATGTTATTCATTTATTTAACTTTTATTAACTTTTATTTTAATTTTTTAACTACGTGACAAACCCGATCGCCGACTCGACGAATTAACAATCCGCCAGGGCTGTGTGTGTGTTGTGTTGTGTGTGTTGTGTGTGTGCTGTGTGTGTGTTGTCTGTGTATGTATGTTGTCTGTGTTGTGCGTGTGTTGTGTTTGTGTGTTGTGTGTATGTTGTGTGTATTTGTGTGTGTGTTGTCTTTGTATATATGTTGTGTGTTGTGTGTGTTGTGTGTGTGTGTGGTCTGTGTATATATGTTGTGTGTGTTGTGTGTGTTGTGTGTGTTGTGTGTGTTGTGTGTATTTTGTGTGTGTGTGTGGTCTGTGTATATATGTTGTGTGTGTGTTGTGTATGTTGTGTGTATGTTGTGTGTGTGTTGTGTGTGTTGTGTGTATGGTGTGTGTGTTGTGTGTGTTGTGTGTGTTGTGTGTGTTGTGTGTGGTCTGTGTATATATGTTGTGTGTGTTGTGTGTGTTGTGTGTGTGTGTGTGTGGTCTGTGTATATTTGTTGTGTGTGTGTGTTGTGTGTGTTGTGTGTGTTGTGTGTGTGTGTGGTCTGTGTATATATGTTGTGTGTGTTGTGTATGTTGTGTGTGTGTTGTGTGTGTGTTGTGTGTGTTGTGTGTGCTGTGTGTATGTTGTGTGTATGTTGTGTGTGTGTGGTCTGTGTATATATGTTGTGTGTGCGTTGTGTGTGTGTGTTGTGTATGTTGTGTGTGTGTGTGTGGTGTGTGTTGTGTGTATGTTGTGTGTGTGTGTTGTGTATGTTGTGTGTGTGTGTTGTGTATGTTGTGTGTGTGTTGTTGAGTGTATTGTGTGTGTGTATTTTGTGTGTGTATTGTGTGTGTGCTGTGTGTGTGTTGTCTGTGTATATATGTTGTGTGTGTTGTGTGTGTATGTTGTGTGTATGTTGTGTGTGTGTGTTGTCTGTGTATATATGTTGTGTGTTGTGTATGTTGTGTGTGTTGTCTGTGTATATATGTTGTGTGTGTGGTGTGTGTTGTGTGTGTATGTTGTGTATGTTGTGTGTGTTGTGTGTGTGTTGTGTGTATGTTGTGTATGTTGTGTATGTGTTGTGTGTGTGTTGTGTGTGTATATGTTGTGTATGTTGTGTGTGTGTTGTGTGTGTTGTGTGTGTATGTCGTTTATGTTGTGTGTATGTTGTGTATGTTGTGTGTGTGTTGTGTATGTTGTATGTATGTTGTGTGTATGTTGTGTGTGTTGTGTGTATGTTGTGTGTGTTGTGTGTGTGTTGTGTGTGTGTTGTGTGTGAGACTCGTAAACATTTCACAAATATCTCAATTGCCGTGGCTGCCTGAACTTGGCGAGTTCCCTGATTTTTCTGCACCCGCCCCCCTACCAAACCCTAGAGCTGGGAGGGGTAAGGGGGGTAGAGGGGTAAGGAGGAGTGGCTGGGGGGGGGAGATACGGTGGGGGGGGTAAGGGGGGGCTGGGGGGCAAGGGGGGGGGCTGGGGGGGTAAGGGAGGGGGGCCTCGCTCTGCACGGCAAGCGCTGAACTTTGCCCTGATCACTGGGCACTCAACCATATCTGCTGGGTCCAGCTGTTAATC